CCAAACTTATCACTACTGTGCATAGAACTTCATAAATAATTTGGCAAAAATAAAAGTAAAAACATCAATTATGATGAGTCAGAATTTCTTTTAAAATTTGTTATGATTTAGCTCTTAGTTTCATTAAATACATCAGTCAGCTATCTTAATTTTCAATAAATTAGAGAAAATGGGGAAACAGATATAGGTCAAATTAAAAGGAACAGGAGAAGAATTTCAACCATATGTATCTTTTATAAAAATTATGTATTCAGACTGATTTGTTTCTGACATAAATGTGTGTTTAAAAGTTTGACAATATATTATTTATATGAGGGCTTATACATATTTTTTGAAAATTCTTGAATAATTCATGTTTGTCAACTAGAATCATCATCCTAGATGAGATGGCTAAATCAATAGCATAATCTTTTATATGTTTAAATATATACTTATTTGTTAAAATTAAGTGGGAGGTAACAAGTCATAGACTGGCACAGATTTCATATATAAAACATATAGTTTTATACAAAATTATTGCAATCTGTACCTTAATTCTATATTTTAAAATGGCATGGTTTTTATTACTACAAGTTATTTATTTATTTATCATCTCTGTGAAAGGGAGATCTCGTAAAAGAAGACTGAAGCTTTACAAGCATAGTTTGATTAAAGCATTTGTTACTCTAGCCTTAAATTCTCCCTTCCTAAAATTTTAACAATTAAAATAAATAAATATGACTTCAAATTTTTTCCAGCTTAAAAAAAGTATTTCTTCTTGGTATTTTAAATATGTACTTATATTGTTTAATGATTAATCCAGTCCTGATAAAAATCTTCATTATTAAAAAAAATCAGTATTAGGGATTTTTGAATTCTCTCCTTTTTATCGAAAGGCTGACTCTCTCTCTCTATATATAGTAATGTAGGAGTTTTAGTTATGCCAATGCATCTTTACTTGTTATCAACTTTAATATCAAAATCCTACATTTAACATTATATAAGATTTCAGAGGTAATGCACTTCGGACATAAAAGGTGACTTCGTAGCCGTAAATATATGAAAAAAGAACATCTGAATCTTATCTGAATACAAAATCCCATCAATGATAGAATCAATGAATTGGAGACCCCCACCAAACTTGCACCAATCATTCTGGAAAAAGTTTGACTTTTAAAAAGCTTAAATCATGTGCCGTAATTTTTCATGTTACATTGTCATTATTTATCCATTTTCAAATAAATTACAAAACATACCCATTTACACAAACTTTTATTGATGCCCATGTTTGTGAAGTTATTCCACTTCTTGCTGTTATATTGAAAGCAAGTCCCAAATTTTAATCATTTTCTCAGAATGTGAAGAAAAACTAGATAAATAGCACTTAACTTATATTTTTCTTTACAAAAGCTAAATTGACTTACTGAGATATCAGATTTACATAAAGACAAAGTGAAGATTTTGTGATTGCATTCTGATATCACCCTTAAACATTATTAGCACTAAATTGCACTGTTTGACAACAGCTTTTGTGTATGAAAACAGTCAACATTTTAACATATAAGCAAGAGTAGTCATAATAGATAGACTAAATGCTTGAAATTTCTCATATGTTTACATGCCATATTAACTCCCCACTTATCTAACTATAAGGAGTGTGCAATTCCAATGATGAATTCCCAGAACAATATGATAGATATAATAATAGAGGGAGGAGCAATCAAAAGAGGTGTTTAAAGCGAGTGTCTTGAGTCTTGGTTGTGTATGTGTTTTATGGTGGATTTATGAATTTGTAATTTTTTTTGGATTGTAATAATTTTTCAATAAAAAAATTCTAAAATATTAGAATATTCCAGTTATATGAGCTTTTTGTTTAGTTGAATGCAATTATAATCAGGCTTAATATATATATTATAATAGGAAAGGAATATTTTGCATTAATATGAAGTCAAGGTTTTTATATGCTTTTGGCTATGTAATTATAGCACTATCTTCAAAAAATTATTGTAGCTACCAAACATGTTTGCCTTTGCAACCTCTAAAAAATATTAAAAATTAATGTGAAACTAAAAACTTTAAAATTGTATTTAAAAAAGTAATTTAATCTGAAGAATTAATAATAATTTAGTGCTAGAACTGGTTTTTCTGAGCTGTTTGCATTCTGTTTGAGGTAAAAATACATTTGAATGCTGTAATTATTTTTCCCGGGGAGGCGAGAGTCTCCCACCCATCTCCCCTATCACCAAACCATACGTGAGGACTTTTGGCTCACCATATATTTAGAGTATCCCTATGTCGCAAAGACAGTGTACATTTATAAATATCCATGCCTTCTGCGGGTTCAAAGCCAGGCCGTACAGTACTAGAGTAGGCTCCTCCAACCACTATACCATCTGGGTGACACTCACAACTTTAAAATTTATTTATGCCATTTTAAGAAACAATACAAACGTATTTTTATGAGAGATAAAAATGAAACCTTATAAAATGAATATACATGGTGATTCTAAATTGTTTTTACAAATTAAGAGGGGTGATAGTACTCATCCAGATGAGTAATAATCATCATAGAACATATGGTCGCATTCCGCTCCGAGAGGCAGAAAAGAGGAATATTAGAATTCCAGCCTGAACTCACGACAGTGTTGGGAGAGCAAATGAACAAGACCAAAAGTTGCACAATCAGTTTAATGAAAAACTCATAGAGAGTGCACAAAACGGATAAAACCAAAAATTTGGCATTCGAGTGTTAATTCGAACTCAGACTTTGACGGCAAACACTCAAATGGGCATCTTTAGTTGGCAAGGTCTCAACCTCGCAAATGATTGCAACAAGTTAATTATCTAATTCAAGAGCTGAATATTATCAACTAACTCACTTCCGGTGTATGCCAAGATTAGTGTGAAAAGTTTCATGTTGTGTTCCGGCTGTCAGAACTTCGTGTCCCATAGAAAGGCTCTTTAAGTAGAAGGAGCGCAGCACATTAACTCCAGGAGGACAGGATAGAAGATGGCGAAGGGGAAAGAAACTGCTACCTTGGTATTTGATATCAAGGTAGCAGTTTTTCCCCCTAATAATTTAGATAATTAACTTGTTGTAATCGTTTGCGAGGCTATGACCTTGCCAACCAAAGATATGCATTTGAGTGTTTGCCATCAAAGTCTGGGCTCGAATTAACACTCGAAAGCCAAGTTTTTGGTTTTATCCATTTTATGCACTCTCTGTGAGGTTTTCACTAAACTGATTATGCAAGTTTTGGTCTCGTTCATTCGCTCTCCCAACACTGTTAATTAGTACATGGTATTATTGCTCCTTATTATTTATATTATTGCTCATTATTGTACATGGTATTATTGTTAATTAGTACATGGTTATTATCCTAACATGGTAATTATTGCTCATCTGGATGAGTACTATCATCCGTCTTAATTTGTAAAAAAAAAAAAATTAGAATTACCCTGTATACTACTGAATTTGTTTATTGTAACAAAAAAAAAAAAAAAAAAAGTTTTGCAAAGGCAAAGTGAATCATTTGTCAAATGTATGCAGAGAATACTGCATCTACTTATGTTTGTGTAAAGGGTTTAAAATGCTTAGAAGAATTCTGAAACTGATTTTAATAAACTGTGCCTTGCAATAACTTTGTGATAAAGAATAGTCTGAAACATTGTATATCTTAGGAAAGGAATATGTGTTTGTTTTTTACTGTTAGTGAAAGAAAATACAAAAGCCAAATAATAGCAGGGTGATTGTTTACTGTATTTTTAGCGGTACTATGGCGTAAGTACCTTAAAAAATTATCAAAGAAAAAATATCATAAACTTCTAATAATGTAACTATACTCATAATCGAAATGAGCAAAAGCTATTGTTCCATTGGATGTAAGCTGATTCACTTAAATGACAGTTAGTCAGAATTCAGAACCACACTCAACAAACAAATATTAGATGAATTATGTATGGTAACATGGTATGTTGTGCAGCTGAAAGTGATCATCCTGCATCATGGAACAGTGCAGACATAAATGAGCATAGGTGATGGGCAATGATAACTGAAATAAGCACAAGTGTTGATAGTGTTAAGAGTTGTTTTCAGGCATATCCAAAGAAATCATCATACTCCAAGAAATTATGATCAGATCCTAATTCCACTGCCACCAACTTGAGAAGTTGTCATTAACCAAGTCCAAGAATGTTCTCTATTTAGTATCATTTCTGGCCTTTCATATGCATGATGAAGCAGGAACTTGGATTAATCAGACAGAAACTTTTGTCAGTCATCAGGCATACAAATTTCATGCTCCTGAACCCATAGCAAACACGATTTCCTGTTTTGCAATGATAACTTGGACATTTATGATAGTCTTCTGCCGTTGAAATCCAAAGACTATCATGTTGAGTGTCTGGATCAACTTTGTAATGACTTGAATTGTATTTAACTGCAATGTGTTATATTATAGCCCTTTACAGTAGTGGATGTATCATGGCAGCCACTATTTACCTTTATCATTCACCAGCACTTTTTGATCAGAATTGTCCTTATTACATGAAGCCTCACCCCCCTTACGTGTTCATTTGTTGCTATTTGAACACCCAAGATATTGCTGCATGCAAGAAGCTTGGAACATTAGTTGTTTCAGAAATGCTACAATAGACTTCTTGCACCCATGATCATGCCTCATTCAGGGTCGCTAAGATCTTCTGTCTTACCCATTTTCAAATCAACTACAATGAAAAATATTTTTTCCCAAGTTCAGTAAATCTTATATATAAGCAATTAATGGATGTTATGTCACTGTAGACTGGTCCATGTTATAAAAAGAGAGAGAGAGAGAGAAAGAGCTGTCTCTAATATTTTGATCACTCAAATATAAAATATGCATCTACATGATGGAATATTTCCATACATATAGTTAAATAGTAATGTTGCTGTTTAAAATCACATAATGCATATTTATAATTTTTTTTCTAGTTTTATCATGTACCTTCTAATGTATGTTTATATTTATTTTCTCTTCTAGATTCATCATCTACCTTCTATCATAACAAATTTATTAAAATCAGCTTTTGAAGTTCCTAAAATCCATGCAAGTCGAGTAATTATCTATCTCTTCTCAACTGAGCCTACTTGTACTCTGGATGTCTTATCTCAGTATGTTCTTTTACAAATATGTTTTTAAAAAATATAAATTATATTAGAAGTTCATTAATTTTAAATTCTTCCATATCTGGTCGGTCACTCAAAGGTTTCTTCACTATCTTCTAAGCAAAAAAGGTTTTTATAATTAGGATAAACAAAATTACTCTCTCTCATAGTTGCATTCCCTTTAGCATTTTTCCATACCAGACCACAAGTTTTTGTACTTATTGGGAAGTAAACAGACTTTTTTTTTTTTTTTTTTCTAAATCTGAAATATACTCTTTTTCTGCCTATGTTAGTTCTTCAGTAGTTATGATAGACTTTCGTTCCATCAACATTTGCAGGATGTCTTTGTCAAGCTGTACACATTTTCCAGTATGAGGTTCGTCTTCTAGATAGCAGTTTCTGGCTTGGAATTTCTGGAACCACTGTTGACACTGGCTTATGTTTATTGTCCTATTTAATTAAACTCGTAAAGCAAAATATGTTGAATGTGCCCCTTTGTCGCTTTCATTATAGCTTTGAAAAATATCTATCAGAACCAAACTGCACACTTCAAGCGTGTACTAAAAGAACTAAATAAAATTAATACCTCTTTTTACACAAGTTTATGTAAGTAGATTATCCTGTCCCCTTCCAATGCGACTGGAAAAAACTGCATTATTTATGGGACAATAAATGCAATATTTTTTGGGGGAAAATTATTTAATATAAATTTACATATTAAATATTTATTCTTGGGATAAATATCACTTTCTATCATGAGAATTTTCAAAATTTTGTATAACTAATGATTATTTTCATATAATCTATATAAAATCCCTTTCCAAAAATTGAAATGTTTAAAGATGTTTATTATACTCATTTTTCAATAGTTCATTATAAAAAAATTACATGAATTTAAAGCAAAAATTTTTGTTTGTTTCCTTTTTATTGGATAAGTGTGTACAAAGTCCATCATATACAGAAAAGTTATTTATTTAATTAATATCATATACATATAATAAATAAATGCAAGTATTTGATATAAATCTTCACTGAATATAATGAATGTCTTAATATTATAGTTGTAAAATTCTTTTTTAGATTTAAGCTTTTGTTACAATCATGATATAAAATTGTCATATAAAGAAGAGTATGTTTTAAATGAAATGTGTATGGTTAAAAAGTCATTCTTTCATTAATTTTATATTGATATGTTTTATACGAGATATTAAATGTGCACAGTAATTAAGAAAACATGTTTCACAGGTTTATCTAGTATTCATAGATTTTGCTTACCAGAATCAACATTAGAAGTACAGCCCGAGTTAAATAGATTTGACACAGCAGGCTTTTTGAAGTGTTTCTATAGTGTGACAACCAGTCCATAATGATGTTATTGAAAATATGCATCTCATGAAAATATTATCTGTAATCTGAAAAAGCACAACAAATGACCCTGAAAGATTGTGTTTATAGCATTGATTTGGGCTATGAAATTTGTAACAATTATTCAGTTGTTTTTGTGGATAAATACTCTCAGACTAAATTCACAGAATATAATTCTGGAGCAGATTAACTGATCCATAGCAGGGATGCCATGCCATACCTTTTTGTGAGCATGAATCTCTTTTTTTTTTTTTTTTTAAATGGGGAAGATGTTGCAATTTACCCATACATGAGGAAGTATAAAATAATAATTTAATAATGTTAATAATGTGGTAGATAGATAATGCAAGTGAAGAGTTGGCCAACTATGATTTACAGTTGTTCCCAAAATGATACGAGTCATTCTAAAACTGAGTTTTATATTAAATCAAAAATTCTAATAAAACAAGAGTATATCATGTTAGACTCCAATTTTAGAAGAAATATATGCGATTTTCTTGCGTAATAAAATAAGACCACACAAGCAATTTTTGAATCAAACAGCAAATAATAAAAGTAATTACTCTTCTAATTTGGCAACATAAGACTATTTTCTGTGTTCACAATTGAAATCCAAAAAGCTACCAATTTTCTAATGTACATGACATAAAAAATGATAAAAAAAGTGAAAGCAGAGTGTTGACATGCATTTTGAAGTGACCATGAAACCCAATTCAACAACTTGTAAAGTGTATAGCTGAAGTTAACTGTTTTGAAGCATATTAATTTTTGTTGTTTATTTCTTAGTACTAGCATCAGTCCTGGAACCTTTTAAAAGACCTTGTATTTTTATATAAAGTCAATGACGGCCAGTACATTTCTTGATTGCCAAATAAGCCATAATATTTTTATATAATGAGGAACAATGTTATGAGAATAATTAATGAACCTTTAACTGCCATAAACCTATAGGTAATTTTTCACCTGAGGTAAAGAGGTAAATATGCACCCCTATATACAACTGAATAACTGTATCTCAATACTTTTATACTCAACAAAGTTAGCTACAATAAACTATACCATAGTATTCAGAAAATATGTGCAATAATTTTTAACTAAAAATATTGCTTTTGTATACAGCTAATAACACTAATAATATGTTTAATGTTTCACAGCATTTAGTATAAAAAATATTACAGTAATATTCAAGCCTTTTTGGAGGGGCATGATTTATTGTTTCTTGCTTTTAATGAAGTGAAATTAACAATTTTTTTTTCAAAATTTACTTATTATATTTATTTAATTTATGTTCTATAGAGAAAATCGTGATGTTTGAAAGTTTTTGTAACCCAAAAGAAGATTTTGCGTTTTTTAATAATTTTTAAGTTTTCTGAAACTTTTTTCACCCTAAGAATAATGATTGCTAGCATTAAAAATATTTTGATAATAGTTCCCAAATTCAGATTAAGCTAAACTGTATTTCTGAATTATGTATAAAAGATCTGATTTTAGTTTAACAACTACAATTATTGAACTAGCATAGTTTCTAAAACTAAATATTTCTAATGGAATACTTGAAAAATTTGTATCACTGTGATATTTAAATGCCAAGTTAAAAGATGGTCCTTTTTCAAATACCTAAATATCCCTCTCCTTAGATAAGATAGTCTTTGTATGCTTCATCGAACTCAACCTAACATATAAAATATCTAAATCCAATAGTATTAATATTTTACCACTTGTAGATCCAATAGTATTAATATTTTACCACTGTAAATTGGAAGCCATTTATATTATTAAAAACCAGTGTGCGTCAGTCTGTTTTCTTGTAACATCATCTCCTCCGGAATGGCAAATAATTTAGTTTCTCGAGAGAGGTATTTCCCAGATGCCAAACATTCATGGGAAGCAATTTCTCTCTCATCTTTGTGTGACATTAATCAGCTCAGATATTAATTGAAAACTCTGAAAATGCTAATTTTTGCACTCATTTTTCCAAGTGGCAGCAGTCTCTCGTACTGGAGATAAAAATGCTTTATTTCTAAAAGTGTTACCACTGCTTGCTTTCAAATCGTAGAGTCTGTTAATAAAAAATGTTTTACTGTTTATGAAATAAAAATAGCATTGCCAAACATTAAACATATTATTAAGGTCATATTCTGACATCGAAAAAAGCATGCAATTGCATCCGACATCTTGTATGTTGAAAATTTTTCATTTAGCTCAGCAGTTAAAATAAATAAGTGCTGTTGGCAACATTTTTTATTCAACTTAACACTGATGTGGATAACTGACATGAGTTATTGCCACATTAACACATAGACTGCCCAACACGAGATAACTCATATAAGCGCTCTTCTTCGGGATGCCCAATACGAGTTATCTTGTAGTTTCTTGACTTGCCATTTTTACGCCGCTATGAGTTGCTTACTCGCTCAGCGCTTCTTTTAGCTGTATCGAGGCAACAAGTTGAAGCATGTCTGTACGAATCAACTCATAGTGGGCTTCTGCGAAGAGCTTTATCTAACAAAAGCCAACTACAAGAGAATTTGTAGGAACTTTTTTCTGCGAAAAAAAAAAATCCTGTAAACGTTTCAATGATCGTTACGAATCATAATTAGTATTTTTAATAATATAATAAGATTAAATCAATTTGGCTTCTTGGAGCAGAACCAGAAAAGTGCCGTGGCAGTCAACGTGTTAATTCTTTTATTGATATTGAGAAAAAGTTATATTACATTAAATTTGAATCATGATTATATGTGTCAAAAGTTTTTTTTCCTGGTTTGGCAACAGAAAATTATTTAGGAACTGATTTCATTCAGGTTGGAAATGTTTTCATATGCTTTCTTTTTCCCAAGTGTACATATAACTTATAAATTTTGCTTTGGCCATAGCCTGTTAGTCTCATGTAATTTGATATTCTCATTTTAATTGCAAGATTAAAATGATTTTCTTTCGTTCTACTATGGAATATACTTTAAATTCTTTTATCGATTTTTGACAGTCTGATCTCTGATATATATTAATCTTTCTTTTTATCTTGTCACCATATTTTATTGATCTAATTGTCTTTAAAGCGGAATTTTTACATTTCTCAAGAATGTTTTCTCTCATTTTCCATAAAGAAAGAGATATCCTTCTTTTATGTTTGTTTGTTTAATGTCAAGCATATGACAGCTATTTGTCTAGTAGAGAGACTTTCTAACAAAAATAGCCTCATACTTACATTTCACATGAGAAAAATAACGAAAACACTCATGCAGCCAAACTGTTTGCAAGCATTTGATATAGATTAATCCTTCTATTAAGTATGCAATTTTATGTATATTTAAAATTTTTGATTGCAAGGCTATATTTACCTTTCCTTTTTAAGTATCTAATTCTATGAAGGCACACATAAAATTTCAATCTCATTTACTTAAAGAGACTAGTAGATTCAGCCCATTGCATGGATTTATCATTTGATGCTTTAGATAAGTTTAAACTTTGGGTAAATATAATGAGTCGATTTGATTTGATCTGCTTAAACGAATTTAAGTTAAAAAAAGAGTTGTGCAAGTGCTCAACAATACAGTTCCATTTTTATAGTTTTAAATTTTTTATTTTAAAATAGTACTTTCAATAAGTTTCAAAATTGAAAATTTAACTGTCATAATTCATTTTTTAAATATATTTCTAAAATTTCACAACTAATTTAGTGCTCCTTCTAGCCTCTCACTCACCTTTGCTCTGCCATGAATCTAAAATTTAATCCAGTTATAGGTTACAACTTCATCATTCCTTCATTATTGTTATTTTTTATGTTCAATAGTGAGTCACATCCAAATTTAGTGTAGGAAAAGGAACTGCAATAAAATTTTCATAAAACTACTTCACATTTCCTTTATTTCTGGCTTTCCAATCAAAATTGTCTATTGAATGACTGTAAAACTGTATACATGATATTTTGATATTTTATCTGTATTATGCTAAAATCGTTCTATTATTTTTGAGTAATGGCTGGTTGAGACCTAAGCAGAGCAGTCTCAGGTATTAAGTACAGTGTTTTCTCTGAACTATAAATATGCAAACTAAAATGTTTACAGTATGATATCAAAACCTAGTGCTATAAGATGGTATACTATTTTTTAAGCTGTAATATCAAATGAAGTACCTGCACAGATACCATAAATTTGTTTAAAAATAATTATAACAAAAATAAATGGTTTATTATATTTCTCAACAGTAGTAAAGAACAGATTTGCAAATCTTTTTACTAATGGTAACATGAGATAAGCATTTGATGTTGAACCTTTTATTTAAAAAATAAGTTAAATCTGAATTGATGATAAAAAAAATTCATATCCGATATTAGTTGCAGTTTTCCTGAAGAATGCTTAAAAGACTGCAAAGTGTTGCAGAAAATATATATTCTACATTAATTTAATAAAGGAATAATTAAAAAATACATTGAAAAATCAGATCATGAGCAAATTACGTGAATAAAAAACACCTTCAGTGACTAATAATGTTTCATTAATTTCAATGTTACAAACATTTGAGGGTACTTTTCCGTTTTGCCGGCGCAAGCGATAAAGTCGCCAATAATGGTACAACCGATGCCAAACGGAATATTCTCGCTGATAACCTTTTACGCCTCATTCAGATAGTTCAGTTTTATGTCTAAAGCCATTTTCGGCAATTAAATCAATTAGGATGCAATAACAGCGCTTACCCGAAGCCGAAAATATAGAAAAGGTAAAGTCAAGGGTTGAATTCATCAATTCTAATGAGAATGCATTAGCGAAGTAAAGCACTGCAGTTTTACATAATTTCTGAGTAAGCTATTCGTACGAATTGAAGTATTTCTTGCATTTAAACTTGTATTCCAAATTAAGATTTAACTTGAAATTAATATAGATAATTACTGAGAGCATTATATTTTTGTAGAGTAGTATACGTGAGATGAGATCGCTCGGGGTCACGTGATATGAACCGGCGAAACAGGATGTTGATCCATGAAAGCATAGTAAATTCTTAATGTCTTTTTATAAATTTATTGTCTTTATTTATTGGCTTTTTTATAAAATTTTAAGCGATATTAAAATGTTTATACCTTCAAAAAAAGAATTCTTAGGACTAACATTTTTTTAATATTTTTTGTGTGTATAATGTATGTTGTCGCCAATAAAGTCTGCTTGGCGAGATTTGCGCCGGCGAAACGGAAAAGTACCCATTTGAGTTAACAATAAATGATTTTCAAAGGCTTTGTAACCTATGCTTTAGAATTAACATTCAAGATTTCTGGAAACACATTTTAAATATTTTCTATTGCTTAACACTCACCAACAAAGATTAGCAGCCATGAATTCAGCCTGGTGGGAATTACAGCCAGATTTTGAATTGGAGACAGGGATTTGAGAACTCAAATACTTTGGTTTAGTTTAGTTTATTAGATTACGGCAAAGCACTCGAGGGCTATCTGCGTTAAGGGAGGGATGTCTTCGTGGAGGACTTTGTAAGGGAAACTGGCTCGTATACACGTTATACATGGGGAAAACCACAAAAACACCCATGCAGCCAGCCCGTTCGCGGGATTCGAACCTCGGACCGAACTACCAGCGTTCAGCGACGTTACCGCTCGGCTGCTGGTGGGCACCTCAAATACTTTGGACTTTTGTTACTATGATATTGCGTCTCTAAACAAAAAGTACCAGCTTGGAAATTAACAATACGAACATGGAAGACTTATTAGAGAATCACAATAATAAGCTCAACAAGAAAAAACTGCAACAATCTCAGAAGCAGTAACAAAAATTGATTGTAGGAGAAATGTCTTTAAAAGAGGAGATGGGGGGGGGAATTATCTTAGTTCTTTGATACACAAAATTTGTGCAAAATAGGAATATTAGTTGAGCTGTTCCAAACAAAGGGAGGGTCTAATAATTGATAACTGTATTTAGGAATTCAGAAAAATATTTTATCTATAGATAAAACATATTTTAATTTATTATCATGCAATACAAAAAAGTGCATTTTGTGTAACAATTTATTTGAAGAAAAGATGTCAAATCTTTTATTAAGATTGCTTGTTTTTTTATATTATACATAAAGTAGTTCTAAATACAATACACTGAATCATAAATTTTATTTCATACCTTAGAGTCAATTTTTGAGTAATTTATAATTTTTTTTCTTTCTCTTAGATCAGGAATGGATGAGTTTATTGAAATTATTTTTAATCTGCCAGGAATTACTGATATTCTAAATAACTTGCTTCTCAGAAAGGTATCACGGCTGTCAGTATGTCAATAGGAGATTTCTGTTTTACTTATGCATTATTTTGGTATACAGATAATTTAATTATGCATGTATATTAAATAGATAAAATCATATAGAATATTTTTTACATATTAAAATCGAATTATATGCCTTTAACACTATTTACACTTTTAGAAATTTACTAAAATGTATAAAATATGTATGATTCAGGATAGCATGAAAACTTTAAATATAATCAAATACTTAGATGTTTGGTTTATATGAAATATATTTGCCTGATTTTCTTCAAAAAGATGTTTTTGTGTCAAATATTATAAAATATATACATGTTAGAAATGTTTAATTCGTTTTCTTGAATAAAACCTAAACAATTTAGTACAAGATTTATTACATTATTTTATTACTAAGTATAAAAATTTCCTAAAGTGCGAGTTTTACTGAGTAAGTTTTTATATTCATTCATTAAGATGTATTGTAATTCTACTTTTTTAATTCATCAGTGTGCAATATTCTGCATTCCAAACAACAATAAATTATTTTGAAACAAGATTAATAATTTAAATGTGCACTATATTTTATCATTATACTGTATGAAGCTAATCTTTTATAACCACAGAAAATTTTAATATTAATGTAATAGTTCTACAGCAACATTTTATTTCCTACCTTTACATTTGTTGCATTAAGTTTTCCCTTTTTGTAATATTTTGCTTTTAAAATAAATCTGTTTATCATATCATATTGTTTAAACTTTCCACATAACAAAATTATATTGTTAATAAACTTGCTGAAAATAAACCAGTAATTTTATGTTATTTTTGGCAATTTAACTTTTACCTGTCAGTGATAAAATTAATGATTAAATTTGATTTTGACTTTCTACAGTGATATAGATATGTATGGGCCCATTTATCTATGTTTTTAATCTTTCATTAAAAATGATAAAATTTTCTTATTAATAGCTTACAAAATAAAATTTTAAGTATAAATATATTTAGCAATGATTTAGTAAAAAAATAAATGTATTGCTAAATTCAATTTCTTAAAGCTATAATCAAATGCAATTTCATTGAAAAGGTGCAGCTACAATAAAATGCAAAGCATTTCATAATTGAGGAAAAAAGATTAAAAAACTCCATCCATAGCATGCAATAAAATATATAAATTTTTCCCACATTATATTTTTGTTGATGAACTATTTGTTGATTATAATATTTAAAAGCTTTCTCAAAGCTATACTAAAAGTTTATCTCGAACTCGGGGAAATTCTGAATATGCAAAAATTCCTCATAATTGAGCATATAAAAAAATGCAACTCGCAGTAGAAAAGCCAAATGAATAGGAGAAAAAATTCCTAATCTAAAATTCTAAAAAGTATCTTTATTTGTTATCAACTTGAATATCAAATGCCTATATTTGAATTATGTGAGTTTTAGAAAGAAATAAGGGGCAGAGCCATAAATGCTGAAGTAAAGCAACATATTTGATTACAAAACTCTCTCATCCATGAAAACTGTCAGAAATCTCACTGAACTTGCTTCTTTAATGAGATGCTTGTTAAACTTGCTTGTTTAGTTAGAAACAGATCCTTCTTTATTAATTTAGATAATCAATATATACAAACCAAGGACATAACATATTAAACCTTCAATTGCTGATCATAATTTTTCATGTTGCAAAGCCAGTGTTTATTTATTTTTATGTAAGTCGCACTTTTCTTAAATCCAGGATCCCATAATTTTGAAAATACTCTACTGCATGTTGTTCTGTTGAAACAAGTCCCAAATTTTAATCATTTTTTCAAAATGCGATTGAAAAAGAGATAAACAGCAGTTACCTTGTATCATTTTTACAAAAATTAATTCCCAACTTATCGAGAATTAATCAGGCTAACCTAAATACAAAGCGTCATGTCACATTTATCCATTACTGACACTACATCACATTGTTTAGCAAAGTTTTTCTTTGATTTGAATTGTTGCTCATGTTTTATAGTGGAGTTGCAGGTTTTATTTGCTTTATTTTACATTTTAAAAATTCGAAATTATTCCAGTTACGTAAGTCTTCCGATTAGTTGAATGCCGGATAGTCAGGCTTTTACTGTAGTAGTACTGGTATTTATAAAGCTTTTCCACACTTTGATTGATAAGCACTGCCTGTTTTTTGCTTTTGTGAAAGAAAAACTAATCGCATTAAATTACTAAAAATCACTTTACTTATAGATAAAAAGACCAGTATATGCTCTTCTTTGATTGTCTGGCAACCGTTAGGGTGATATTTAGTCTTCATTGTTTATAACTTTTATGATGTCAGATTCATATACAATGGCAATTCTAGAAGGTCATCCAACCTCTACCTAAAACTCTCTGAGTACAGACAGGATCAGGTCAAATTAGACAGCCTTACAGGCTATTAAATATGACTTCCTTTCCAATCTAATTTTTTAGAAATTGACTGTTTATGAAATTTTTCTATCATTCTGTCCGCTAACTTATAAATAGATGTACAATGCATATTATGTTATGAGCTGGTATCTATTGGTGATAAAAGTTCTCTTTTGGAAAAGCAAAACTTGATGGTCCAAATTGGTTCAAATTTCTTAGTGGGAGATATTTATTCATACATCTTCTACAACTATTTGAAACATAATAAAGGTTAAAGAATGCTTAAGTGCATATTTTTATATTAAATTTGTGTACTTTTCAATTTTTTATGCAATACGTATTGCAAAATGGAGAAAATAACTGCGAGAGTAAATGTATATAGCTAAAAATATAATTTTAACCACTATCTATCTGATTATGATATATATGCGTCTCATTTAAAAAGATCAAAATATTCTTATAGAAAACTGTACACAAGGAAAATATTTAATTAAATTATATTTTATTTTGTTGTGCAATATATTTGTATGTTTAAAAAGAAATTAGAATTTTAAATGTATTTTATAACTGCTTGCAGAACTGTACACACACTGTACCTAAAAATACTACTAGTCCATGTTTATTATATACATTTTGATTGTGTGAATCATATGAAGCAGTTGCTAAAAATATTTGGAAATTTTTATTTTGCTATGAAATATTTATATTTTGTAATAAATACATTTTCCAAGAATGCATTATTTCTTTCAAGCAACTTCATGGCACAATATTTGTATCACAAACTATTTACAAAACTTAAAAACCATTTGATGCAATTATATACAATTTATTTATAAGATGAACAGTGTATATATACATAAAAGATTTGAAAACTTAAAATCATACAATTAACATTATTTTTGATAGAAGATCAAATTATGTAAATAAAAAATAATGCATAAAAAATGTAAAAAATTAAAGTCTATTTAATATATTCTTATAAGCATTTAATTACATGAAAGTTTCCACGCTTACTCCCTGGGGGGTAAAAACAGACTATTAAACATTCCTTAATGAATTTACGTGCAATAACCAAAGCTGTGATAAGTTATTAAATTCATTTATTTAATTGTAAATATCAAATATTTATATCAGTTCTAATACACTGATATTGACTGAAAAAAATATTTGAACACTAATTGATAGTTTTTAGAAATATCAATTTTACTTAGTAAGACACGAACATTACACATAATTTTAAATCAGTTTGCTTCTTTATTTATGCATAAATGAAATAATCATCTTTCATATTTTTCTTTTCATAAATTAATGTCATCAATATCATTAGCAACATCTTGAATGCAAAATATTTTTAATAAGAGACACGCTACTGAATCAAAATAAAAACAAAGCAATGAAATTTAGAATTTAGACTGATGTAAAAAAGATTGAACAGAAACAGACTTGCCTATCTATGCAGTGTTTTCTTTTTTTTTTTAATTAAAAAAATTTTCAGTCTAGGTGTTCAAAATAAACAAAGTTAAGGAATCTGGTTTCAATTATTTTATATTGTTTGAAACATATTCAATAACATTCAAGTTAAAAGTGTAAAGCCCCGTTCACATGCAACACTCCTTTGCCGTTAGCAAGAGGAGAAAAAGGAGATATGAAAGAGTTTCATCTTTAGGACCCGTTCAGAAGACCACTGTCTTCCTTCCCTTTACACCTAAGCCTCTGTGAACAATCGCGTCTCAAATTGGTCGATTTCTAATACCGTTTACACATTTTTAACATTGTTTACCATTGTTAATTTTGTAATTTGTACTTTCACAACTGGTACCTGAACTTTTGTAATAGTTCCTGAAAAATATATGCTTTTAATTATTATTATTACTTTATAAGCTGTTATTTAGTTCACTCTTGGTGCTTGTTGCTATGGTTAAAAGATGGTCATGGATTTTTTAACTGCTTCCCGATAAGATATAGAACTCAAACTTTGTACATACACTGCTTGTGGATGTGGTGTCACACTTTTGATTTTTAGAGGATTAGATTTGTTTTCAAATTTAAAGTTGAAACAATTTTTTGCAAATATTAACAAATAAACTGAGAATCTCAGAATATTAAAATTTGCACCATAAGACACAGTAAAGGAAAACTAATTAAATGAAATTTTTAGCGTAATTAAAAAAAATATATATATTTTTTGGGAGAATTTTTTGAAAATTGTTCATATTTTTAGACTTTTTGACGCCCATTAATTTTAAAATTTCATTTCTAAAAATATATCAGTTACAAACTTTTCGCATTTAAAAAAAAGATAAAGGAAATTAATTGGATGATTTTTTTTTACTTTTTAGAAAGATATGCAATGAAGCATAATAGGAAATATGGTCCTTGGGCATCAATTCCAAACATCGGTTTCAAAGTAATATCTCATTATACCCACTATTTATGATAATATTTACTATATAAGTTGTTATTGTTGCCAGTTGTTAGTTCAGCGTGAGATCGGAGATATTTCTGAGTTAACTTTCTCTTAAGATTTGTTTTGCATTGCATTGTGTTTAACGTTCTTATTAGATTGAAGCATAACTTTTCTGTGGAAAATTACAGAATTTTGAAGTGTTTCTGTTGATAAAATAAATTTAATTAAGCTATTATTGGATTTGAGTGCAACGACAATCATTTATGAACTATTATCAATCTATTATGAACTCATACGCATGCAACAATATTATAATTAATTAATGTATTAAAATTGTTTTGAATGTGTTTTACAAAACAAAAACAGGTAAAGAAAAATTCTGCTTGCGTTTTATGATTTTTTTGCAATTTTTCTGGCCAGATAATGTTTTATAAAAAGGTTTGTAATTTATGTTCATATTTACCAATTGAATAAATAGCACTAGGCTTGATTTATATATGTATGCATGTATTTAAATTCAGTAATAAAATTTTAAAGAAATTTGAAATGATTTATTGTCTATTTAGACAGTTTGTATTCTTTAAACTGCAAATGCAAACTGAGAAACCTTTTCCATTTTTTCGATAAATCCTTTTACATAAAGTCCTCAAATATATACAGGTATGGACTAAATTATTATTTTTACTGCTTATTTAAAATTATATACTTTATAGAAACAAGGATGGGTTTTGCAAAATACTGAAAAGAAAAATTATTTGAAATGAAAATGTGACTATTATCATATTTGTTTTAAAGATTTTAGATAAAAGTGTAATTTTATTTTTTCCTCAGAAACTAATTCATTAATTGCAAAATCATTCCTTGAAGTTATTAAAAACACTCTAATAAATACAATAAAAAAACTGGAGGGGGAGACATTGAAAATTGTAAAATTTTTCTTCAAAAATTTAAATTAAAAAAAATTACTAGCAAAAACTTTTTTTCAGCTTAAAATTATTTTGTCTTTCAAAACCATTTAATAATATTCATAAAAAGTAGATGAAAATGCTTAAATAAAAAAAATTATTTAAAAGATACCGAGTCCTTTGTCGTGTTGAAGCCGATATGCACTTGTCTTAACTTTAGTTTTAATTTGAACGATATTTCTGGAATTCTGGATAACCTTGTCTGTATTTGTCTATAATTTCCGTATCTTGTACTGTTCTATCTAATTTTCGGGGAGATGCTATCACATCCCCAGACAACTATCAGCACGATTGTTTTGCTGACAGTCCAGCAAACAGTAACTAAAATTAAGTGACCCGCACAGTTTAGTACGAGAAATCTCCCCATTTGCCCTGCTCCCGAGAGGTAGAAGCATTCTAGCAAATTCTACCTCCAATTCGGAGAAGCGGGTAATGCTTATTTGCCATGTGAATGGGATACATTGGAAGAACCGGTTTTCCCCGCCGGTCGAATCTGCTCTTGTGAACGGGGCTCAAGGGAGATGACATAATTTACCACTAAAGTTTTTAAGCAATAGTTTAACAACTTATTCCCTAAGTTTTTTTTTTTTTTTTTTTTTTTTTTTTTTTTAGGTTTAAAAAAATTTATTTTTTCCAGCTTCTATAAACTTAAAAAATGTAGCAATTGAATAATGATATTGTCATTTTTAAAATCCTTGAAAAGCTAATATTTAAGCCCTCATATTTACCATGTTTGCTTTCTTGTAATTACCTTCTTAAAAAAAAAAACTGGTTTCCAAAGCTTTGCAAAAACACCTTTTTTGACAGAGAAGACATCTATTATTTAATACTAAAACAAATCTCTTTCCATTCCCACCCCAGCTGTATACTTCTGCTTTTGATATATATATTGGTGTGAAAGTGCAAAAATTTTCATTAATAAATCAATTTTATTATTCAGTTGCCACATTGTATAGGTAAATAATTCAACTATCACATTCGCATATCTGACTAGATCAGTAATAATTAAGTAAACTTCTTTTTTAAAAAAAGAAAAAAGCCAAAGCCAGAAACAGCCAACCATGACAATAATAAAGTAAGGATTTGTTCAAAGTAGCAGATACTTGAGATTTCTACTTGCCTTTTTAATACAGAAAATAAAATTGCATGACTAAACCAATTTTCTTTTTCCTCCAAAAAAAAAAAAAAAAAAAAAAAAAAAAAAATGCTTGTTCATACTGATTTTCTAAATAGAAAGACATATATATATCTTCTAGACATGAAAAGAAATGTTGTTATATTTAACTACTATCTTATTTATGAATGTGTATTTAAATTTTGGTTCTCAATACATTTATGCTTTCAGTGAAAAAATATTATTGCATTTAAAAGAGTCTTTAAAAACAAAACTTCAGAACTTGGATTTACTACAATGAACCTGGCAATAAACTTGAGACAGCAACAAACAGAATAATTCAACCAAACAAAAATCTAGTATTTTTCATTTTGGCAACTACATTAACCTACCCCTGCACTCCCCTCCCCCCCAAAAGAATTACAGTGAAATACGTTTAACGCGAAATAATCAGTTAACACGAAATAATACAACGGTTCTAAAAAACTACTATGAATTTTCATGCTTTTTTTCTTTCTTTTATCACAAAAAGATTTTCCTTCAGGAAATGAACAAAATACAGAAAACACCAGCTGCACAGGCGAGATTTAAGAGGGTTGTGAAATGAAAGAGAGGTGGTGGTTTCACAAGTTTTGTCGAAAAGAGACTGTCTTTGAAATACCCTTGGAACAGCCTGTGAGATAAGCCAATTTTGTTTATCTAAGATACTTTTACCCTTTACCCCTACAAACACACTGCAAAAACATATCATCTCTCATCAGTTTGCTTTGGAATTTGATGATGAATTTGGTGGATATTCTGAAAGTATGAAGAACCAAAGCTGAAGAGAAGAAAAAAATTGAAATAACTAAAATCCTGACAGAAGAAAGAGAGTTAGATAATTTTATGGATGGTAATTTTTTAACTAAATCACTTTCAAATTCTGGCAGAAGAAGAGAAAATATTTTATTTTATATTTAAATGTATAATCAGTAAAAGACAGATTTATATTTTAAAAAAGAAAATAAAAAAATATTCAGACAAATAAGAAATTAACTACTGAATAAAATTTTCATACTGTATCAGATTTCACATAGTATATACATAAAATCTTACAATATTTTATCATTTTAATGGCATACAACAGTCTATGCACAAAACTATTTTAATAATCATGTATCAAACTTCAGATTACAATTTAACATTTTGAACAGATTTTCATTAACGTCACTTTTTAGTTAATATGATTAATAAATGCATTTTGTAACACTAATAAATTTAAATCTTTATAACATTAATAAATTTTAAACAGACAGAGGCATGATAAGATACATAATCTATACATTTGTAAATATATAACTTTCTTTTTAAAGATTTCTTTACTTGAACTTTTGACAATACAAAATATTGATTCTGTAAGCAATTGTATGTCACTAATATTATCAATAAACTTATTTTACTTCACAATTTAAAAAGCAAACTTCAGAATACAATTTCATGGAACAAATGCACAGACAAAAGGAAGAAGGAGAAAGCAAAGAATATATTGTTTATATTTACTCACTGTTCTCAAAAAGCAGTAAAAGAATATAACCAATTAAAACCTAATAATCAACAACCCATTCATTCTCTGCAATAAAAGCATCAATAACCTCCTTCAAAGCCAGATTTGGAATTAACTGTTCTTGGACAAGAGGAGTTCTTGTTACTGGATCAAAATGCCCCACTCTCTACAAATAATAATAATAAAAAAAAGGTGATTAGTTTAAAAAGGACATAAAATGTCTAAATTACCTCAGTATTTTTTTTTTCCCTAATATGCAAATTTTTAAAAATCTAAGTTTAAAAAACTCGTAAACTGTATGAAATATCCTACCATTATTACATACAAATTTAACATCATGTTTTCCATTTAAGGTTTTTCATTTTTTTAATTGAAGAAAAATTGATATACATTATATACTAACCTGTAGATGCTCTTCAATATCTTTTCTATCATATGTAATACCACTTGGAGTTATTACAGGTTCTCTCATAATATCAAAACTTATTTTACCACATAAATAATCAGGAACATCTCTCTTCTGTAAGTAAGAAATATGTATGAATGTCAAATTTAAATTTGGGGAATATAAAAAAATATATTTAAATTTCATTAATGAAGTTAAATCATTTTTTCATTACATACACATTTACACTTCAGTAATACTTCAGAGGATGCATAATGATAGCACATAAATAATGACAAACAATGAGGTACTTCTAGATAGTAAATTTGCCATTTACCAGACATAAGACAATTTGGCACTTGCATGGAAAATACACATATCTAATATAAATACATATTTTTAATGTGCCCAGTCTGAGAGAATATAGCCATAAATAACACGGGCAGTAGAAAAGTTAGATACTGCTATGTAAAATACCTCATGATTCATATTCTTTTTTTCAGGAGGGAATGTTATGGTTTTTTTAAAACAATTCTTTGACTTATGCAAATATTACTGACTTGGCTTAAATTTGATAATACATTATAAAAAAAAAAAAAAAAAAACTAAAACCTGTTATTAAACTAAAAATTTTCTAAATTTTGAAACAAAAGTGATTAATAGACATACATTACTCAATTTTTAATATAATTACATGCTAAATTATAAACTTATAAAAATGCAGATAGTTTTCAAAAAATGTTCTATAAAGTCACATTTTTTTAATCATTTTTGTTTTAAAAGAGGATGAGTTTTTGATAACCTTTTTGATTTTGAATACTTCATATCTTTATTAAGGAAACATTTTTTAATGTTAAAAGGCCCATAACATTATGTTCCATAACAAAATTTAAAAAATAAATTTTTATAAATGAAATGCAATTATATATAAATTTATCAAACAGAAAAAATTTAAATGATGCAATAGATTTTACTGCAAATAATTTTAAACACTAATCAATCCTTATTGTTGTTTTTGATAAATGAATTAAATTAATAAATAAAATTAAATGAATTATAAATACAAAATCTACCTCTAAAAAGGTAAGGGGGGAAGAAACATCATTAAAATAACAAAACTTTTATAGTAAGCTTAATATCTTTGCAGGAAAGATATTAAGCTTACTACAGAAATGCATTCATATGGAAGCAAGAAAAATAAGACATCGTAATTTCAAAACTATGCTTCATTGTGATGCTCAAGGAAGATTACCTGTACTTTCCCTTTCCCCTTCTGCTATATATATATTAAATCCAGAAATGGCCTGATTAATATGTTTTTATCATTTTTATTTTAAAAGAGGGTGAAGAGTTTTATAACCTGGCAAAATTTCAAAGCTTTTCAAAATTTCATTTAAAAAATGTTGTCAGTTACAAAGTTTAAAACTTTGTAACTGATACATTTTATTATGTGTTGAAAATTTTATAGCAAATCAAAAATCCCGAAACTATACAAAAACTTTCATTAATTTTTTTTTCTTGCACTAACCAATAGTCAATAGTGCAAACAATAAAATTCTGAGCTTTTTTATATTTGTTCATTAATGATAATATGAGCAAAAAAACTGTTCCAAAATTCAATTTTAAAAAATCTAAATCGAATTAAAAAAATCAATTCATTTCAATGTATTGTGTTGTCTAAAAACAGAGTAAAAAAAAAGCTTAGTAAAATGAACAAATATGTAATCAAGAACTAATGTTGCAAATTACTCAAATATTTAGTATAAATATTTACAAAACATGAATAACATAAAGAAAAACATAATCAAATTTCACAGAATTAAATAATGACTTTATTTAGTTCTGTCCATTGTTTCTTTGTTTTAGGGCAGAGTAGAGAGTATCTAAAACAACTGTAGCAATGGACAAAACTGAACCATATAAGAAATGAAAAACTCAAATGATTTTGTTTCATAATTATTTTAAAATGAATGCACTGTATTTATGGAAAATATTTACATTACACACTTAATGAATAAAAGCCCTCGAGAACAACAGACACATCTCAATGAATATAGTGTACCAGATGTATCACAGATCAAACTTATCTGCTTAGATGTAAAATAATAATAATAATAATTTGCAAAGATTTTCATTTACAATGCATAAGGAATTAAGTACATCTCAGTGGAATAAGAAGAAAAATTAGTCATCAAAAGTATGTGAAATGAAAACAGAAAGGAGAATTTGCTTAAATTTTTGGCACTTTATTAATTATTTTGGATGATATCATTTATACAATTATTGATTGGTTTTATGCTAATTTTTTAAAACTGTATGTAATTAGTTATTATAATATGTTTCCCTTTTTTTCCAGTTTATTTGAAAGCACTTTTATTTGCCATTAATAAGTTTTATTTTTCATTGCTATATACTCATTTGTTCAGTTTAACTGAAATTTAAAAATGCATTTTTTTTCCTAATTATTTATTGTGTGGCATGCAAATTTTCTTTTAAAGCTTCTTTTTAAAGCTACACATTTTTCATTATGGAACAATATAGTATCAGTCAAATTTTCTTAGATTTAACATTTATCAGCCCTTTTTATATAAAATTAAAATTGAAAAATGTTTTCAAATTTGGCTTGTGTAGTGAAGATTGAAATAATCATCATTTATGTTGTGAATTCTAACTTCAAAAATTTATGTTATCTGAAATAATCTTCATCTAAATACCTATAATAATGTTAATTTGGATCAATGAACTATTTTAAAATAATTTCTTCCTACTAAGTTTCAGTAAATTACTCAGTGAGCAGATGCTGATTCAAGAAAATTGAGCAGCAGCTCCTACAAAAAGGGAAATTCCTCCTTGTTGGAAGTATGTCAGGCAAGTTCTATTTCCATTTTGGGAAAGAAAAGAATGTTTCTCTTCCTACGTAAAAAGTAAGTTTAATTTTTATCATTTCCCAACTTTCTGAACACTTTATGAATAAAAAGTTCTACATAGGAAAATGGTTGGTTCAATCTAGAAGACACTGCACAATTCAAAGACAGACACTTGTCTTAGGTTTGGACATGCTTTTATATGACGTAATATTGGATTTGCATCTTTCTAGAAACAATCATGCTATAACTTCATACTTGAAGAAAATCTAAATTATATTTTAACAGAGTTGAAATGTTATGTTAATAATGTTCCTGTGAGAGTTTTTTAATTATAAATATACTTTATTGTGTGTGTGTGCTATTGTTAACATTTAACACAGCGAATTAGCTCTAAAAAATGCATTAAAATTTACAAAACATTGAAAATAATGAATAAACGATTTTAAATTTATAACCGTAATGGCTGAAAATAAAGAAAATAATTGTTCAATGAATATGTCTGATGTTGGTGCTTCCGCAGTATAGTTGGAAAGTTGAATTTTGATTTTTTAACAATTAGGGCAAAAGAGTAAGAAAAAACATGATTGAGTGAAGAAAATATTGATTGCAAGCTCATAAAATATGCAATTTGTGAAATGAATACGAAACTGGTTGAGCAAAAGAACTATATAAATGGTTTTAAATAGATGTGTAGAGTTAATAGAGGCAAACGTAAACACGAATTACAAGGTCTGTTCGAAAGGATTCGTGATTTACGAAGAGTAAACTGTGCATGTGTGGTTTCTGCAAATTATGTATATGTAATGCAGGAATGATTTTATATGATCAGAGTTAAAAAAATAATTAAAAAGACTGTCACAGAATGGTTAAAGTAATGAGTGAGAAATAAAGCAAATGTTTTGTTAGAAATAAAGCCAATGTTTTTTTCTGGATCATTTGTAATTTTCGTCAGCTGGATTCAACTAGCTCGAGGGTGAAAGATACACATATTATCACTGGAGAGTGAAAAAAAATTTGTGCTTCGAAGATCCAGACACAGATATATTCGGCCGAAGCCGAGGACTAAAGCTAAGTTTTATTTATTATTACTGGCTGAGCGCCGCCTGAGATAACCACTGACCTGACTTTGTTGTAAAAGTCTTACAGTGTTAATAGTCATCCTGGCAGAAGGGAAAATTTCCTCTGTGTAAAATATACATATAAATATTACATGGGCATACAGCCTGTGTTAAGCATATATATGTGATTACAATCATTGTCTTGTAAAGTACATATGATAGATACATAAAATCATGACAGCTATGTGTACATAAAACATTAATATGATTCATTTACAATACTTTACTGATAATAAATTAAACTTGTAATTCATTTATACATTGACTGTTTTTCAATATCATTTAAACTGCTTTACAATATTATTTTTATCAAGTACATACAAACTGATAGTAATATGCTTACATTACAATAGTTTGCTCTTACAGTCCTGTTTTATTCTACGGGGTAGCTATTTTCCTAGTTTGATATTCAGTTGTAGTATTTTGAATTGCTATTAAATTATGCTGCAAGATACAATTCTCAAGAGGGGAAGAATTTCTTAGTATCTTGCTGAGCAAAGCCTGATTACCTCCTCTATTTTAGTTTTGTCTGCTGTTGCCGCGGGTATTCTCTGCCCATTGCGGCCAGTATTCACTGCTTGCATTTTAAAATGCAGTTTATCGGTTTGTGGGCAGTTGAAGAGGAAGTGATCTGCATCACCTTACCGCACCACATTCACACAAACTGAGCTCGTATGCCGAATCTCTTAAGATAATGTGGGAGGGACCATGGCCAGTGTAGAATTGAGTTTGTGCTCCGCTGTATGTATTAACTGAGCACGTGACTTTTGGAAAGAACTTGTAGGTTCTCCTCCCTGTGCTTTCCCTTTCCCATCTTTTCTGCCATTCTTGAAAAGGCTATTGATTGTGGTTTTTTTTAAATAGGACTGCGGAACCTTACTGCGTTTTCAATCTACTGGAGTCATTGGCAGCAGATTTCGCAAGCAGGTCCGCCCGCTTCATTGCCAGTAATACCCACATGAGCTGGACCCAGATCAGGTCTGTCCATCTGGTGGGATACTTAGAAGAATTTTCTGAATACTTGCACCAAAGGACTCCTGTCTTGTGCCCTCGAAGGACTCCAAACTTGAGGCAGAGTTTGCTATATATGCTTGACCTTTAATCCTAATTGATATTTTGCCAAATGATGGCTGCTTTTAATGCAAGAAGCTCTGCCTGAAAGACGGTATTTTTGTCTGCCATCGTCTTTCCCAATTTTAACCACTTCTCCTTCTTGGAGTAACAGTAGGCGCAGCCTGTGCCTTTTCCGTCTTTGAGCCATCTGTATAAATGCAAATGCCTTCTCATTTGGCGGCGTGTATTGCATGTATATTGTGTGCGATAAATCAGTATCTGCGGGTTTCCAAGCATGATCGGCTTGCGCTTCTCATAGTCTGTATGGTAGAATGTCTTTTGCCCAGAGAGACGTTATTTTCTAGGCGCAATGTCCTTACTAATAGTGATTTCTCTCCACTAGAAGGTCCAGTGGAGGGATACCCGCCAGCACTTGCAGTGCAGTTGGGGATGTTTAAACCTTTGCATATGATCAAAGTTGCATTCTTTGTATGTGAGAAGCTGTCTTCATCAGGGCGTAAGCTTCCTTCCCCATCAGCCCCATATAATTATGAT